ATATATATATATATATGTATTCTAATTTATAATATATATATATATTTTTTTGGTTAGAATTAAGAATTTCATTGAACTCCTTGCCTTACGATTACAAGAAGACTTTCGACTGTAAGGATTGTTAAGTAGAAGTGAATGTTATTAACATCGAGTCAGAAACTCACGATCAAAAGGCAAGGGATCGATTTCACTTTGAGATTGAATTGAAATTAATTACTCTTTATCGGTCTAAATTATTTGACTCGTTCGAAACATCCTACAAGCAAATCGTAGAAAAGCAAATCGTCCGTTTCGGACGTTCTAGCGATTAGTTAAAAAGGTGGCTAATATAATGTAAGTGTATATTCTATATTTCTTTTTCGTAGGCGTGCTTTCCATCGGTTCTACACGAAGTTCATCGAGACTGCTTTTCCGATAGAAGATATCTATATCGAATAGATTATGTACTGCTGCTGGCCTGTCGTATAGAGCGGCTACCGAGAGGGAAAGATGAAATCTCACATTCCTTGGTCCCCTGTACATACTGCCCTTAGCTGTAGATACATACAAAGGAAAAATGATAAATAACGCGAATCAAACACCCAATTTATATACATATACATATATGTATATATATGTACACATACAGGTACTTACATTGCACGTATATTTATATGTATATATACATATATCTATATGTAGATATCGAACATTTTCGGGAAGCGTCACGACGGGACCGGTTATTCAATGCCGTCTATTCTATTAACATATTCACCTTGTTATTTCTTACTTTTTAATTAATTATTAAATTTAATTTACTCTTCGTATGCTATCTTAATTTATCGTCTCTGCAGTTATCTCGATTGTTTGTCATTTCTTTTCATCCATCGCATCTCGACACCGGTCACTTTCCATTACACGCACCAATCGAACCCGTCATTTCTGTAACAAACAACTGCGCCGGTTGCGAAACGATCTCTCTCTTTTTTTCCTTTTTTTTTTTTTTTTTTTTTTTTCTTTTCTCTTTCTCCCGCTTTCGTGTTACTTTCCCGTTGACTGGGCACGGGGCGCAGCGTACTTGAACTGCGGGTGAAAAGTCTTTAATAACGTACACTAATTACTTACTTACAGATAAGAGTTAATCGTTAACCTTTCGATCCTTCGACCAAGATATCCGTATAGCGACCACGTAGAACAAACAGAAACGACAATAGTGT